CGGGTGGCCGGGGGCCCCGGGGGGAGCCACACAGGCTGCCGCCCCCAGTCCGCCCTCCCTGCTGTCTGCCCACCTCTGCAGGTGCCATTGCTGTTCCGGGCCCTCGTGCAGCTGGGGTGTGTGTGTGTGGTCAATAAGCAGCTGGTCAGGCACCTTTCTGGTTGGGAAGCAGAGACATTTTCTCTCGAGCACCTGGAGACACGTTCTCTGGCCCAGTTCAGCTACCTGGAGCCAGGTACGCCCGTGCCGGCACCCTGCTCCCCCCCTCCCCCGCCACCTCTGCACCATTCCTAGTGACAGCCTCCTCTCCTGCAGGGAGCATCCGCCACATCTACCTGTATCACCTTGCGCAGGGCCACAAGGCGCTCTTTGGGGTCTTCATCCCTGCCCAGCGCAGAGCATCCGTGTTTGTGTTGGACACTGTGAGTGCCTGGGCCACATTCAGGGAAGGAGGGCGTATTCTGCCAGCCCACCCAGGCTTCTGTGGGCTCTTAAGGCCTTTGTTCAAAAGTGCCTGGCATGACTGAGTGAGATGGGGTGGCAGAGGCGGGGTCGGCTCCCGGGGGTCCCTCCTTTGTCCCACAGGGAGAAGCTGATGCAGTGGCCCTTTCCCTAGGTTCGCAGCAACCAGATGCCCAACCTCAGTGCCCTGTACTCAGCAGAGCACAGCCTCTTGCTGGAGAGGGCAGGGCCTGAGCTCCTGCCACCCTCCAAACACACCTTTGAGGTTCGGGCTGAAACAGACCTGAAGACCATCTGCCGCGCTGTCCAGCGCTTCCTGCTTTCCTACAAGGTGAGGTGGTCCCGTGCAGCCTTCCCCACCGCCCCATCCCGGCCCTCTCCCCGGCTGGTTCCACCCAGGTCCTCTTCCCTTCTGGCCTGACTTAGGAGGAGCGCCGGGGGCCCACACTCATTGCCGTCCAGTCCAGCTGGGAGCTGAAGAGGCTGGCCAGCGAGGTTCCTATCCTGGAGGAGTTCCCGCTGGTGCCTGTCCATGTAGCTGACAAGATGAGCTATGGAGTCCTGGACTGGCAGCGCCACGCAGCCCGGCGCATGCTCAGGCACTACCTTCAGCTGGACACCTGCCTGTCACAGGCCTTTGAGATGAGCAGGTGAGTGCAGGAGGGACTGGGCTGCAGGCCAGGCTGCAGTCTGCCTCTGGCCCTCCCATTGGGGGACGGTCGCGGGCAGGGCTGACTGCAGGCCTGTGCAGGTACTTCCACATTCCCGTTGGGAACCTGCCGGAGGACATCTCCACTTTCGGCTCCGACCTCTTCTTTGCCCGCCACCTGCAGCGCCACAACCACCTGCTCTGGCTGTCTCCCACGGCACGCCCCGACCTTGGCGGGAAGGAGGCGGATGACAACCGCCTGGTCATGGAGTGGGACGACCAGGCCACCGTGGAGATCAACAGTCCTGGCTGCTACTCCACAGGTGAGGGAGAAGCACACCCAACCCCGCTGGTGTCCAGTGAAGGCCAGAGGGTGTGGGGTGGGGGCGGTCGATGCCAGTCAGAGGCCACGCACCGGGCCCCGCCCTTGCTGGGCAGCACTCGCTGTCCAGAGGTGGTTTGGCCTAGGCTGGGGTGCTATGGTGGGCAGGGGTGTGTGGACAAGCGTGCTGTGGCCTGTGCAGTGTGTGTGGAGCTGGACGTGCAGAACCTGGCCGTGAACACCATCCTCCAGTCCCACCACGTCAACGACATGGAGGGGTCCGACAGCGTGGGCATCAGCTTTGATGTGATCCAGCAGGCGTCCCTGGAAGACATGATCACGGGCAACCAGGCCGCCAGCGCCCCGGCCAGCTACGACGAGACGGCCCTCTGCTCCAGCACTTTCAGGTGCTGCCTGGGGCTCATACGGGGGTTTCGCCTCGGCCCTTGCTCAGGAACACGGGGGTCAGCGCCGGTATCCCCTGCGGCCTCCCTCAGCCCTGTCGACAGTGCCAGATTTGCCCTCCGATGCTCTTCTGCTGAGTGGCCGCTCCGGGGGCCTCTGAGTGGCCCACAGCCAAGGTTGTCTCCGGTCAGAGATCAGCAGGGCGGCCTGGCTCGCCTGGCCGGGTGCATTTGCGTTCCCGGTTTTGGACAGTGAAAGGGTCTCGGGTCCCCGGCAGCCCCACTCTCACTGCGGGAAGTGCCCTGCACAAGGGCGTGCGGGTGCTCACCTGCCCTGTCCCCACAGCAGCCTCAGAGGTGAGGAGACCCCGGTCAGGGCCGACGTCTCGATGGTGGCTCTGCTGCGGCCGAGGTGGGGCTGGCACAGACACAGTCTGTGTGGCCACCTGCTCACCACGGGGAGTGGGAACTCGCTGAGCTGGGGTAACCAGGCAGGTGTTTGGGAGCGAGAGCAAGCTGGCGGAAAAGTCCAGTCCGGGGGGGGTGGGAGGGGCTGGACAGTGGACGGCCCAGGGCCTCACTGAGGGCAGCGGCCTTGTGGTGGTGTCCAGGGCCCCACCAGAGACAGTGTCACCTGACGTGTTGAAGGTGGTGGTCAGGGACAGAACCTGGGCCTCTGGCTTCTGTAGCCGGCCCTAGTGAGGTGGTTCCCAGTCCTGCAGGCTCAGGTGCTGTTCTGCGAGCCTCCAGCAGAGCCCCAGGTACCGCATCAGAGTGGTTCGCAGTCCTCCGACAGACATGGAGGGAACTGGGCGTGGGTGTGCACCCTGGCCCTTTCCCGGGACCTCCTTGGACTTGCCTCCGTGTCTGGCCCGTGGTGGGGCTCCTCCCCTGGGAGACAAGTCTGTGTTGACAAGTGCCCAGACTCTTGCCTGGTTTGTGTCCATTTGCGCCCACCTGACCATTGTTCTGGGGTCGGGATCCTGGTCTTCGGTAGGAGGCGTGAGGTCAGCTCACCACGTGGTAGGGACGAGCACCAAAACGTGTGCAGTGTGAGCCCGGTGGGGAGCGCACGGCCGGCGGGCGTGGTCTCTTCAGATTCGCTGGCAGGTGCCTGAGTGATCCTTTCTTAAAGGACGTGGTAGGGACACGGGGAGCCTAGTCTCGGGGTCAGGCGGGGCACCCCGTGTGTACCCGAGATGCCGAGTTCATACTGAAGGCCCGAGTTAGCAAGGTGCCAGCTCACACTACGGCCTGAGCTCATCTCGGCCAGCGTGCCGCTCCAGGTGTGTGTCCCCCGATGCCCGGGCAGCAGCTTCACCACGTCCTCCCTGAGCCAGGCGCCCTACCCTATCACTCGCCCACCCTCGAAGTGCAAGGGCCCATGCTGCTCGTCTGTCGATCGTAGTGCTCACGGCGAGGCCCTAGTCTGAGGGGTGGACTGGAAAGGGAGACAGGTAAGGGGTGAGATGTGGGCAGTGCAGATGGCAACGGCTTCTGCCCCTCAGCATGGGCAGAACCTGTGCTGGCGTCCGTACTGGGAGTACAGAGCAGCTGCACGTGGACAGGAGGGAGCCTGCCCTGTACCTCTCTTTCAGGATCCTGAAGAGTATGGTGGTGGGCTGGGTGAGGGAGATCATGCAGTACCACAACGTCTACGCCGACAACCAGGTGGTGCACTTCTACCGCTGGCTGCGGTCGCCGTCCTCCCTGCTCCACGACCCCGCCCTGCACCGGACGCTCTACAGCATGATGAAGAAGCTGTTTCTGCAGTGAGTGTGCTCGCGGGGCTGCAGGCTGTGCTGACCCAGCACAGAATCCGAGGCTTGGCTAGCCAACCCCTGTCCCTCTGGGAGGGAGAGCCCATCCCTGGGGTAATGGCAGTTAACAGGCCCCAGGAGGAGCATAGCTACCACTGCAGCTCTTCACGTGTGCACCCTTCCGGAGAGCAGCGGGCAGTCCCGTGGCCAGCCCTTCTGCACTGTATCTCCTGCCGTGAGCCTCGCTCAGGTAGAGATGTGCCTGAGGTCTGTCCGTCCTGGGCAGTCAGCAGGTGCCATGTCGGGAGCAGTGTGTGCACAAGGGCCCACATGTGCGCCTGCAGCGTGACTCTGGGAGCGGTGCTAGGCAGCTCTGGCGGGCGGATGTCAGGGCTGCAGAAGAGTGCCACAGGCTCCTGGTGGAGCACACGCGTCCCCACCCAGCCCACCCACCCTGGCCTGGGTTGTCGCAGACTGATAGGGTGAGGTGCAATCCCAGTGAATATTTTTCTCTTCTCAATTTCTGGTTATATTTTGCTTTCTGTATATAGTAGGGGCTTTTTTTTAGCATTATTAATTTAGTTTAATTTTATTATTATTATTAGTATTATTTTATTTGACCAGAGAGAAAGAGGGAAAGTGAGAAAGCAAGCCACCAACCAGGTCCAGGACTTGAACCACGCTTGGCCATGTGGGAGCAAAGCACCTCAACCACCACACCACTTGCCATTCCTGTGTATATTTATTTTTTAAAGAATTATTTAATTTTGGGACCAGCAGCTAGCATAATGGCTATGTCGCTGGACTCCCACATAGTCAACTGCGGTTCGCGTCCCGGACCCGGTGGCTTAAACTCACGCCGGGCACGTGTGCGTGCGTGCCCAAGATCCCGAGAGGA